TGTATATCTGTATTTTAACAACATCTATCAGCGCTGCATTCTTTCGGATCGACAATTCGAAAAAGTAACCAAGAGTCCAAAAGTATATGTACTGCGCATGACTGGACTACACAGGCAAAGCTCCCCGGTGTGTTATTCGTTTGCATCTACTAGGCCAAAGAATATTATTGGCTAGGCCACGTGTTTGCAAAACTGGATAACCTGAAAAAAAAAAAAAAATTAAATGTATGGCTCGCATGACTCGCACTGTGGCACTACTCGGCTAGGCCTACGGCCTAGGCCCTCCTCCTAGTCCCCTCTCTCTGAGACTGAGAGGGCCTACGCCGGCCTAGTGTAGTAGCCTACCACATTTCGACTGACACTTAACACAACACCTATCATGAGACAGTTAGGTCTAGGCCCCTAGTTACCTCAGTTCGAATGATTATAAAAAAACAACTACTGGTTATTTCATTGACAAAAATCGCTGCAGTCCGTTCACTGTTTTCTAAATTCCAAGGCCTTTTCTGGAAATCAAATTCAGCGGCACGCGACACATTCCTCATGGCATCAAAAACATCAAAAATTAAACAAAAGTATAAACATCGATGGCGCCCTAACATTATGGATACGGCCGGAATGATGATGCGTGGTAGACCCCCAGGTGGCATGACATTATTTCTGGCAGCAAATTTCAGAATGCTTCCTGTAAAATGTCAGTAAATCACTGGTTTTCATCCATTGATAACCAATGTGGTTCTGTTACTGTTATTCTGTCAATTCTTTGTCTATGTCAGTATGTCAGGCGGATCCAGAGATGTGCGAAAAGGGGAGGGGAGAAAGGGGGGGGGGGGGAATCGAGATAACACCAACCTCTGAGATTTTTGTTTTCTAGACGCCGAAAATAACCTCTGTGGCGTTTTCGGAGATGAATTTTTTTTTACTTTTTCCTTCTTTCTTTTTTTCCCTTTTTCTTTTTTTTGGAAAAAAATTGGAGGGGGTTTCTTTTTTTTTTAATTGGAAAAAAAACGGGGATCCTCTAAATCCTCCCCTGTATGTATTTGTTAACCTTAAGACAACTGCCTTAGTACAATGTAAGCTGATTGTTTATTTATAGTATCAATTTCCATAAAATGTTTTGTATTTTATATGCAATTTTTTTTTATGTTATAATTTGCTACAATTGCATTATATAGTTTTTAAACTGATTTATTATTTTTATATCTTCAAATTATTTTTTGACAAAATAATCAGTAGGTGGTTTTTTTTACCGCCGCTAACTCTCGCACGTATAATTAAAACGACGAGCATATTTACAGAATACATCCATGATACAGATTGATGTTACGACAGTGGCTCTATTGTTTTATAGTAGTAATTATACCCAAAATTTCTAGGCTTCTTTTTTGCGAACCTTGGATGGGCTACATTTTGCAAGTAAGGAGAGCTTCTTTTCAAATGAATGCTGTAAATTTTGGGAATTCAACTATAGATAAAACAATTATAAGGCCACTGTAACAGCAATGTGTATCATGGAGTGTATTAACCAGCTTTAAATCACCTAAAACCAAGCGTGTTTTTATTTTTTTAATTTTTTTTCTTTGAAATTCATTTAGGCCTACAGTTTATGTATTGTACTATGCTTTTAAAGTAATTAATTTATTTGACCTAAGCCGTGTAATCAAGAACCTACAGATACACTAGGCCTATAATTAATAACTAGGCCTAGGCCTCATTTATTCATTCATTGGTGCTCTGCCATTTTGACAGGTCCCATGGCATCCAGTATTTTAGAGGTGTTTATTCTCAGCTTTTCTCTTAATTTGAAAATAACTGTCACCCTGTTTCATTGAATTGTTTCGTACTGAAAAAAAATCGCGGCCTGAACCATAAAACACACTGCTTAAGGCACTAACGGCGCGCCATACATTACGCCCTCAAACCTCCGTATTTTCAGCACTTTCAGCAGCACGGAGGTTTGAGGGCGTAATGTATGTTCAGCTAGCAGCAAAAAGTTGCAAGATGGCTTCCATCGCCGGCAGACTAACTGGGTCTCTAAAATCCATATCTAGGCTGTTAAATGGTAGTTATGATGAGGATCTTTACATATTCTTGTTTATGCTGTTACTAAGTATTTGATTATTATACCTAAAGTTCTAGGCACTAACTGGTTATAGACCTAGGCCCTATATGCCTAGGCTATTAGGTAGGCGAGTAGCATGGGCCTATCTATGCCATAATAGACCCAGGCTTAGCTAGCCTAGGGCCTAGCCTAGGACTATGTTTTATTTAGGCTACGCCCTTGCTAGCCTAGACATACAAAATATTAGCAGAGGAGGAGTAGGCCTTCTAGCAATCTATTGGCCTAGAAAGTAGGTCTTTCTAGATACATAATACAATGTGTCTTCCTCTCTGGACACTGTCACTGTGCCTCTCTCTGCTCTCCTCTGTGGGTACTTACTTGGATACCTGGTATTTTAATATAATAGCCCTAGCTAGGCCTAGGCTGTTCCTTTGGTAGGGCCGTCAATCTTCTTTTACAGGAATCCACACTGGGTGCTCACACTGGGTGCTGAAACAGTGCTGTCCGGTAATTTAATCCAAACAGAGGTCACATGATTACTAATCTCATTCTCAGAATCTCAGAATTGTTATTTTGTCTGGTAATTTATTCCAAACAGAGGTCATATGATTACTAAAAAATTGTTTTCCATTTTTTTTTCTTTTATTTTTTGCAATATACTTCCATTGAATGCCCACTGAGACCCCTTCTTGGAGGTTAAGAGAAGATTAAATCAGGAGAAGTTTTATATTTGTTATGCAGAATCTTAAATGATTCCAAAATATCGATCTCCTTTCTTCTCTCCGTCAAAGGGCCGGAAATTAAATGTCATCAGGACATTGCACCCTTTCTAAAAGATTTGTTTCTAACAGAATACTGTAGGTGCCCAGACAGGTGAAGCATACTCTAAAGTGGGGCAAATAAGAGATTTCTAACAGAATAGGTGCCCAGACAGGTGAAGCATACTCTAAAGTGGGGCAAATAAGAGCTTTATAAAATTGAAATTTTCTCATCTGTAAAGTGGGAAAACATCTACAGATCATAGAAACTCGTTCGTAGGTGAGCTTTGGAGCAAATACGTTCAATATGGTAATGAAATTTTGAATTATACTAGCTAGCTGTGTGGCATTAGACTAAATAATGAGTGTACAAAGTATGTAATGATAATTAAATGATGCGTTTATTTATCCAAAACAGCATATCCCAGCACTGTATTTTGCCAGGCTAAGAGATGGGAATCTTCCGACGTTAAACGTGAGTAAAGAATTAAGTATTATTAGCAGACATATAGTTACAGTGCACAAAATGATTTCATATTTGGTAGTGTATGAAAAAAAATTTCATGTAATTTTATTATGATCAATAAATGAATGTTCATTCAATTGTGTATCAGCAACTTTGAAGCCATTTGATCAGATGAAAAGGGACACATTGGAAGAGTATGGACGGTTTGTTGCAGAGTGTCTACCAAAGTATGTGCAGAAAGTGCAAGTAACACATCAGAATGAACTTGAGGTTATGATACACCCTGAGGGCGTCTTACCAGTTATGACATTTCTCCGAGATCACACCAATGCGCAGTTTAAATCCCTGGTTGATGAAACTGCTATAGATGTTCCCAAAAGAATAAATAGGTTTGAGGTTAGTGTAACTACAGTAACTGAACAATCTGTAATAATACTGTATATGTACACCTAATACTTACCAGTATAATACCACCTCACTCATATATGATAAAAATCTGCCTATATGAATAAATAAATAAATAGGAGTTAAATTTATCTCAGTAAAGACTGCTGTCTATTATCTTTACAGGGCAATATAAAATAATGTAGTTTAATTTTGATAATACAATAAAATATTTGTAAACTATGCTAACAATTCTAATGAAAATCTGTTTTGGACTTTAAGGGAAGTTTCACCCCTCTTCAGGGAATTTCTGGTGTTACCACAGTTTGAGTATAATGACTTGATATTTTCAATGTGTTTTTCTTTGTATTCTGTGTGATGCTAAATAAATTATCAAATCTATTTATATCAAGCCAACTTTTTAATTTGCAGATCATATACAACCTACTGTCACTACAATACAATTCAAGAATCAGAGTTAAGACGTATACAGATGAAATGACGCCATTGGATTCATTATACTCAGTATTTAAAGCAGCAGATTGGTATGAGCGAGAGGTAAGGGATGATGTGTGCTAGAGAGAGGTAGGGCTGATGGCTGCCAGGGAGATGTAGGGCTGATGGCTGCCAGGGAGATGTAGGGCTGATGGCTGCCAGGGAGATGTAGGGCTGATGTCTGCCAGGAGAGAGGTAGTGCTGATGTCTGCCAGGGAGAGGTAGGGTTGATGTCTGCCTGGGAGAGGTAGGGCTGATGTCTGCCTGGGAAAGGTAGTGCTGATGACCAGGGATGGCGCCAGTGGGGGTCAGGGCCCCCGTCGTCGAGAACTAGCTCCCCTGTCAGAGAGAAAAACCACAATTCGTCGAGGAGAAAAATAAATTACTATATGTATTTTCTACATATTATGTAGACCTTAAAATTGATTAAATATGCCTTTCAAACCCCTAAATTGTCAAAAATTGCCAAAACTGGATTAAAACTCGGGCAAATCCTGGTGCTGTCTACCAGGTAGTGTGGTAGGACTGATGTCAGTCATGGAGAAGTACGGCTGATTGCTGCTAGGGTGACTTTTCCCAGTTCATTTTCCCCCTCCTTCAATCCCCCTCCTACAATACCCCTAGATATACCACTCACACAATCTAACAGTATTTCTCATTGTGTAAATGCAATAATACAATATATATCATATCATATATAATTTATTTTGTCGATGAAACATAAAATACAATAACAAAACGGATAACAAGATAAAAATACAACAATTAAAGAAGCAGCTTAAAAAGTAATAAAGAATTTGACTGGATTGCTAAAAAATAAGAACAAGTTCACTGTCAGGGAACTCTCAGTGTTAAATCTGACTTGTAAAATACAATTCATACAGACAATGTAAAATTGAAAATTAATATATTTATGTTTTTTAGATTTGGGATATGTTTGGTGTGTTCTTTTCTGATCATCCTGATTTAAGACGTATACTTACAGATTATGGATTTGAAGGACATCCACTTCGGAAAGACTTTCCACTCAGTGGTTATGTTGAGGTTTGTATTACAAGTATATTATAAGCTACGAAATTTATTATTCATTTATTTGTTTTTGTTTGTTTACTTTATTTGTATTTAATATTTTTACTTAATCATTTGTTGTTTATTCCATTTTGTTGTTAATACTAGGTGGTCTGAGTAAAGTAAATAGTTCTTTCAGAGGGCTCAGCATAATTATATTTTAGAAATCTGTGAAGTACATTGGAAAAATATATGCATTCAATATGACTAATAATATGAAAACATTAAGAAATACTGTCACTATCTATTGTTTGCCTTTTCTGGTTTGCAGAAACCCATCCATAAAATAAGTGGCGTAACAAGTCATGGGCTCACCCCTCCCAAAAAACATCCTAATATTGGTTTCGAGAAAGGGGAAGGACTTATATTTTCAAACTACAGTTACTAGGCCGATACTATCAGACCTAAATGGAAGCTCACTAATGAAGCCTTCTGCAATATTTAACATAGGAATGAAACATTTTATTTACTATATTCTTCGTTAATCCCATTTATACCATTGTTTATTCATAGGTAAGGTACGATGATGAACAGAAGCGCATTATATGTGAACCCCTTGAGATAACACAGGAATTCCGCAAGTTTGATTTGAATACACCATGGGAAACGTTCCCAGCGTACAGAGAAGGTGAAACAGAACAGATTGAAGCCGGAAGTGAGGATAAGAAGGAATAACACTCAAATTGAAATTCATATAAATTAATAGATTTGGACTTTACAGAAGCATTTCTTTGTTTGAACGTATGAAATGTGGTTTTTACTATTATAAGAAGGTTGGTGTACCAACAGCGCCCTCTTGTGGTCAAAAGTATCAAACTTTTTATGGATAGTAACCTGAGATTAGTGATACTGGTTTAGTTTTACTGAGTGCTGTAACTGGTACAGTATTATAACCTGCATAAAAATTTAATCTAGTCACACGCTGTAAATAAAAAGATATGTTGTCTCGAGATGGATTTTGCATTCTTTATTGACCGTATTGTTCCATCAAGAAAAAGAATGAATACATTAAGTAATAATTGCAAATCTTCTGCTGTTTTACCTGCATAAAAATTTAATTATAATCACATGTTGTAAAGACAAGAAATAAAACAATATGTTGTTTCAAGGCGGATTTCGCATTCTTTAATGATCATGCAGTATTTTGTTTTATATTAGCTGGAAAAGGAAAGAATATCTCTGGTTAGGCAAGACTTTTTATACCTGATAATGATTATTTCAAATAAAAAAAAATTTTTTGGCCTGTCTGATAGTACACCTGCCACTGTAAACATTATATTTTCCCTCTGATATATTTAAAGCATTATTCAGTCCAACTGCTGAACTGTTAACAATAAAAAAATAGCATTAATACTTGCCTCGTTGTTGGACGTAAATAATCCTTAAGTTTTAATTATAGATACGATCAATCAATTAATATTACTTATTATTTCAGCTTATCAATCTAACATAAAACCTTGAATAGAAGCCCAATGGGCTTAATCTCGAGAAAGAGCCCATTTCAAATAGAAGCCCTCCTCATTAGTTTACAAAAGTAGCCTCGAGCAGAAGTCCATGGCCGCCTTTTCAAGATAGCATGGGGGGGTTTTTTTTTGTTCAAGATGGTACAGAACATAACACTACAAAATAAATTAACATACTTGGTTTATACAGTAGTGTAGATGATTTAGTGCCAGTTAATACACTCCATGAGACAGACTGATAATGTTACAGTGGCCCTATTTATTTTTTTATAGTAGTAATTCCCAAAATTTACAGTATTCATTTTAAAAAAGAAGCCCATCAAAAGTTCGCAAAAAACAGTAGCCCAGGGCTTCAATTCAAGGTTTTACAGTATACGCAGACAATACAATACAAAACCAAAGTACAGCTTAATTAAAAATACTAATCATAATTGAAAATTCCCAACACATACACTAGTGATTCTTTTTGGAACGGTTCAATAATTAGGTCCATGGCAAAATTGGCATTCAACAAGATATACAGTACAGTAAACATGTTATTTTATTGCACTTATTGCAAAATTTCAGCTTATGGCAAAGAAAATATTAAAAATATAAACATTAATATAGCATTTTTGAATGATTATAAATATTACCTACAGTAATAAATTAATATTAATGATTTTTTTATACATTATTCAGTATTTAGTGTCAAATATGAGAGGAAGTGGTTATTCGCACGGTAGACCGTGCGAATAAGCTCTTATGAGTCTTGTTCGCACAGTAGACCTAGCCAATCAGCATTTGACGTTTCATGACGTCCAACCACGCCAATAAAAGCTTTCTTCTTTGTTTGGCTTCTGGCCGTGTTCACAATCACAAAAGCAGCCATGAAAGCCTGATGTCAATGAAGGTCGGTCAGGCATTTAGTGACTATGTACAATTCATTTGTTGATTTCATTAAAGAAATTTTAGGACGAAAATAACCTTGTTGTAGAGTACTGACTGTATATACAACAATATTTCGACAATTATCACAGCTCTCATGGTCTCTGAGCGCTATGTGGTTTGTGTATATAATTAGGCCTACAATCAATGTATCCAGTAGCATTTCGAAAACACTCCCACACATTGGAAAAGGTCCAAAAGGCAGTGAAGAATGTACATCAATATAAATCTTATTTTCCAGTACAATATAGTAAATATATTCGGTGGCGGATCCAGGATTTATTATGGTAGAGAGGGATTAGGAAAGACTTTTAGAGATGTGCGAGTCTACAGGTGGGCTAAATGCAGCACGACTGCAGCCCACAAAATTAAAACCCTATTAAAACTGCACATAAAATCGAGTAACTTTGCATTAGTTAGGCATCCTCTCATCCTCCTCTGTTCCAATTCCAATCATGATTGGTGCTAAGTGATTAATTTTCTTTTGTTTCCCCATTTAATATTTTTGAATGGAACAAAAATCAATATCACTACTAGGCCCTATGATAGGTGACTATAATACCACCAATACATACTCCACAAAGGCTTTTTTCATGGCAATTTCTCAAGGATAGCTTAAGAAAAGAGTAAAAGGTCTGCAGACACAATGCTAAGCTAGGACCTATTGTACTTCAGTTAGGGTTATCGAATCGACTGTCTGTGCTGTGCCCAACTCATACGGTATGCCGTGAGTTAAATTATCATACAGTATTTCTATCTACAACATTCTACCGTGCGAATAAATTTTTTTCGACAATTCGCACGGTACCGTGCGAATTAGCTCTTATGCCTAGCCAATCAGCATTTAAGGTTTCATGACGTAACGGCTGTCATACCGTGCGAATAAGTTCTTATACCTAATTCGCATGGTACCGTGCGAATAACCTCTTCCAATATGCAATGTTGTTTATTCATTCATTCATAGTAGGCCTGACATTTATTTTTTTCCAGAATATAAAATACAATGATGCATGTACAATAAATAATGAAGGAATTTCCAAGGATAGTGCAACCTTGCACGCATTCATTCTTTCATAGTAGGCCCAACATATATTTTCTTCAGAGTATGGAATACAATGATGTATGTACAGTAAAATGAATTTACAAGAAAAGTATAAAACTTGCATACTATTTAGGTACAGTATTGCAACATGCTTTCTTGGCTCAGAAAATTTGGATAGGTTACTCTATAAGTTATAAATTTTCAAATACAGGGAGTGTTTCTTCAACTCAGATAATTTTATATTCATTACATCCTGGTTCACTAAAAAACTTTTGTCAAGTCTGAATGGGTCAGGATGTCAGATTACGCAGGAACTAGAATTAGACATGATTTGTCTATCTGTGACCTACAGTATATACAACATTATACTGTTTGTTATGTTATTTAAAGTATCTCAACTATAATTATTATATACAGTATCTGGATTTACAGTTAATCCTGATAAAACACCTTCACTGGACTAAAAGTAATCCAGTTAACACCTTCATCTATAATTGAATGTCTAACCTCAGACTTATCCAGATCAATAAATGCACTTACTTAGGCCCAATAAAAAGAAATGATTAGTTTATCATTGCCACTTGCATGTTTTATAGAGTATGGGAAATAAACATTCAGGAAAAAACATATAAAAAAAAAATAATCTCAATCATGTATTTTATTTTGAATATTAATGTGCAGTACCAGCAAACAATTTAAGGGTGAAATTTGGCTTTACCAAAATAAAAAATAAAAATCACTTTTCCAGCCAAGATAGGATGATAAACTAATCATTTTTTTACAAGCCTTATACACATTATGAAATGTATAAATCATAAACACAATAATTCCTGTTTCAGTGTTAGTATAACTACCCAACAGTCGCGGACATAAATATGAAATAAGATTTATGGTTCAAGAGGCCTATTATAATAGATAAGACTTCTATAATTTTTTGGTGCATCGTTCTATCAAATGCCTAATATGGTAAATATCAGCTCTTTCAAAATATACCTGTCAAACTTGCATAGCTGTCCAATCCAACTTGTATCCCATTATAATTCAACTTGTACCAATTTTTGTACAACTCGTCTTCGCAATGATGAATCATATAGCTTAGCCAACTTAACTACAGGGGTGGCCAAGGCCCCCAGTCGGGGAGAAAAACACAATTTGTCAGGGTAAAAAAAATTACAGTTATGTATTTTCTACATATTAGTAGACTTAGTAGCCTTTGAAACCCCTAAATTGTCAAAATTTTCGGGGGTTTCGCCACACCCCCGGACCAATTTCTAAACATTTTAAGCGACACTCGACAACGCCCAATTTGCTATCAACATGGAAATCTTCCCCCTTGTCGGGTGCATCGGCCATCCCGCCAGGGACCTTAGACCCCCCGTCGGGCAAATCCTGGTGCCACCCCTGCTAAACTATGATTGATAGTATGTCATGTGATAGCGAGTTTGAATAAAACAATTGAAAGATTTAACTGTGCTAAAGATACAAAGTTACCAAAGGCATTGGTAAGCCTGCCTCTAGGGAGTGCCATAGGAAATCTGCCTGCCAAATCCTCTTAGAGAAGTGGACCCTGAAGACACTACAAATGATTACTCATGATATACAAATAAACCTATTAATTGTCAAACGAAATGGGCACAGTTGGTTACTCCTACTAATCTGCCCTACTGTATATATATTAGGCCTACTGATAATCATTAGGAGCCTTATCAATAATGAAATAGCATTAACATTGTACTTCTGTGGTGAATCACCGTCTACATATTGATTTTGGGAGTCCATGAATACTTTTTAACATGTCTTGAGGGGTCCAAAAGTAGGGAACCACTGCTATACTAATACATGTTATGAATATACCTGTCTAACTTATTTGGTTGAATTTAACTTGTATCCCTAGAGTGAACATATAGTATTTTCAACTCATACCAATTTGTCTTAACAAAGATAAACTGTTTAGAAAATGTACACAAATAATAAATAATTAATAATAATAATAATAATAATAATAATAATAAATGAGGAAAAACAGGATACAGCCAATATAGTGTACTGTAATTAAATACTAGTACCAAAGTATAAGCCAATCTCGGGTTAGCTCACCCCCTGCTTTACGCCCAATTCTGCCACACCAGGCTTTTCTTGTGCAAAAGCTGATGGTATGACTTAAAAAATATATATTATGGCTTTGAATTAAGCATACCGTACCGAAAAATTGCCATTTGATTGAAAAGGGGATTCCTCAGTTATAAGTCCACCCCCAAAAAATAAGCTCACTTTTGTGTTCAGGGGGAAGGGGCAGGGAGATACAGGAAACTACAGCAGTACTGACCTGCACACACACGCAATACTAAGTAGTGAGTTAGCTCGTAGTTGCTACCCAACTGGTTAACTCCTTATAAGGTTATTCTTTCAAAATCCATTGAAACCAAAAACTAAGGAAAAATATTACCTATAGTTTGAATAACTGATCATATTGCCTTTGTGTACAGAAACCATGCAGGCCTAGTAATCTTTTATGTAAAGTAAACATATTTCAGTTTAGAAATGGATAAATTTCTCTAAAAATACCTCATAAAAATGGCTGATAATTTCTTCCTTCAAAACATTAATATAGTTTAAATATTGCCATTAGAAAAAATATTTTACCTGAGAAAATTGGAAACATTTAATATATGGAATCAACAATAAAATACAGATTTTATTTATAATGAATAAACTTACTGTACTTTCAATATAGTGTATTATCATCTGCTCACTTAATCTGTATATTTGTAGACATAATATTTATACCTTCAATGATCAGAACCATTTAAACCCAACATTATTAAAATTTTATATTAGCATTAATTATATAACTCATTTGAATCAATCATAAACAAAGTGTAACCTCCTCCGCTCCCTGGGGAATATTCCTAGTTATGCTTGTAATCAGCACTACTAATTTCATTCCGAATCATTCACCTCCTATCAGGTACCTATTTATACTCGTGGGTGAAGAGAGGCAAATGCAGATAAAGTGTCTTGCCCAAGGACACAAGCAGTGTGATGAGCATCGGTCTGGCATCCCCCCCCCCCCAACCTTCCGATTGAAAGTCCAATGCCTTACATGTTACACCACACGCTACATGACCATATATGTTTATGATTAGATTTTATTCTAATTTTGATTTTGTTCTGAATATTAAAATTATACTGGCTTTATGGTACTCTTCTAATTAGTACTTACTACACTTTTAAAAATTTGTCATATTTCATCATATTTGAATTTGTAAAATTATTACAATATATCTAATAAAATATTTTGGATAAAAAGACAAGTACACAAAATAAATTTTCCCTTGAGGACATAAACTATGGACGTGTAAGTAAAAATTTGGTAAATAATCATGGATGTCATCAGTAGTGGATTTGTGGGAGGGAATAACAAGGGGAAAATTTCCATACTAAAACTGATTTTAAAACGGAGTCAAGCCACCATTTTGTTCACCCAGGACATCATGAACAAGTAAATATGGCCCACAAGTGCACTAGAGGAAAGAGCAAGCAATGGGCAAGGCCATATAGGTTCAAGTACATATGGGTGGGGTTACTATTGAGGATCACAAGTGGGTGGACCACATGTTAGTGGAACCACAATTTGCTGTACCCCAAGTGGTGGGGGGGGGGGGCACGGTCACAACTGGCAATATATAACACTAATAAGGCTGTGACCACTATGTTTTATTGTATAATAATTAAAACTCATATTTATATCTTACAACATTTTATGTTACTTTTCTTTTGCTTAAATAGGCCAAAATTGCACTTAAATTAACATATTTTAACGTCAGTATTGTGTAGATGAATAGAGTTTAAAACAAAGGATTTTTTTTTATAGCTACAGCGTGTGGTGGATTCTTAAGATGCATCCTCCACTGAAATATATATAATAAAAAAAAAAAACGAAAAAAAAAAAAAATAAATAAAATATAATTTTCTCATTTTCAAGTAATATACAGTAGAACCCCTCCTATTCGTGAAACGAGGGGACAGGACACTTTGTTACTCGTATAAAAAAAATCTTGCCAATTTTGGCCCTTAAACATGGGGATTTCTTTGTTTTTCGTGTTCTTTTCATGTAGGATTCTAATCCTACCATTACATGCAAACTGAATTCTAAATCGTTACTCTATTAATGCTATATCCATCCAATAGAAATTATTTAAAAAAAAGTATACTTGGTCATTAACATCACATCATGAAATAATATTGGGAACATAATTATGAAACTGTTGATTGTTTTAATTACTGTTTTTGCTGAACTGTTTTTGCATTGTAAATTATTGCTATAAATTAGTTCAATTCCACTGTAACTGATTCTTAATGACAATAAAAATTAAAATATCATTGTTGCATTAAAAAACATGTTAAAAACCCCGGAATTAACAACAGCATAATGAAAATAATTGTATTCCACTCAGAATTTACTGGGGAATAATCTTAAAAATCTATAAATCCTTTTTTCTTGCTCATCCCCCAACGGTACTGGAGAGTTGAAATTTCCGATTTTTGTATTGGATGGGTCATTATATTATAAGCTTATATCTTCTTAAACCAAGGACTTTTAACAGTTAAAAGTCCTTGCTTAAACGACCCAATATTTCAAGCAAGTATCAAGAACTGAATTATGAGACCAAAAAAGTCATTTTGCAGATGGCGCCCTCTCACACCCGATCGCTCAATTCTCACCTCATCCATCAACGGGAGGTACAGGACAGGCAGGGGGACCGATCCTAATAATATTTAGACATTTAATTAATCGTCTAGATTAATTAAAATTAATCTGACCATCGGAAGGTATAGAGTAACAACATTTCAACAAGAAACAACTAGCATATCCATCCGGCCTAGACCTAGCTAAAGTCTAGGCCCTAGGCCTAGCCCTTCGTAGGCCTGCTGCTACTACGTACTACTACTACGACCCTACCTAAAAAAGTTCTCGAGGCTTGCTTGGATATTCTCTCGTCCCTGTCTTCTATGGTTGGGTAAGTTGTAGCGGAATCGTTTAGTAGCTTTCAACAACAAACTTATGCATAAAAAAGCCTGAATGGAACACACGTATGCTTAACTACAGGGCCCAACCTTAAAACCACTGTACAGGTAAGTAAATAAAGAAGTAGGCCTAGGCCTAGACATCCCTTATTAATTAACCACCTACGATCATTAGGAAAATAACACTGTTTAATAATAATAGACTAAATTAGAGATCTAGCCTAGGCCCTGGATATTCCTAAATTTACCAATCTTGCTGGGCTGCCTAGGCCTACAGACTGCAGTAGCCTACTAGTACTAGTAGGGCCTTGGCCTAGTGCAAGGAGGTATTGACATTAATACCTCTTTGATCTGGTACTACTGGTTTATTAAGTTACTAAATTCTGTGTCATACAATGTTGACTCTGAGCTCTCGCTTAAGTTGGCCATATTTTGCATTTTTACAGACCTGGAGTTATAGGCCCTAATGCCTATTTAAATTTAAAAGGTGTAACAGGTGTAAATTTAAAACCTAAATTTATGCGGGGAAGAACCAAGTCATATGAATGATTAAAACTTGAAAAGGATTTCGTTTGAATTGCTTACTTGATGATAGTGGGTCGATGAAAAGCTTGTAGTAGCTTATAAGACCTATCAAACGTCTTGACAAATTCACTTTTTGACACAAATGACTGTTGGGGGATCCAGCAAATGAAAATGCACAGTAGTATTAATGGTCATGTCATGATGAAATAGTGTTGAATTAAAGATATGTAAAAATGAAAACTATATGGCCTATATACATTGTGTTGTCAAGCAATTGTGTTAAATACCGGAACGAGACACCCTTAAAATACGGGAATATATCCCTGTGTAAACATTTACTAGCCCTATAATTCCATCCATGCATTTCAAAAAGTGGCGATTTCCAATTCCAATGGTGTACATAATTCGTCTATGATCTTTGATTTTATACTTGTTTTTATCCGTTTTTATTCACCCTTTAATATTTTAAATTATTTGCTGTTTATTTTGTTTTTGTTTTAATTTAATAGTTGTATGTCTTCCATTTATTCTGATACGCCACCCATAATGCAATGCTAGAGAAGAGGCGTTGCCGTTGTGCTACTTGTGTTGGCATTGTCTGCCTCATCATTGTGGTGATTACAAATCTGTTCCTTATTCGTCCTAAATTTACTGCCAACAGGTTACCAGAGATTGAAGAAAACGGTAAGTTTATTATTATTACAATGCATTTTTAAATATAAAACAAAAGTTCAGTGCTACTAGAGGGGGTCAGAAACTATCCTGTGGTAGAGGAGTGATACAGTAGTTTTTTTTTTTGGCAGTTCTGTCTGTTGTCATTTTTGTAAAAAATTGTCTTATACATCTGTTTTTTTATGTGTTTGTCAATTTTATGTTTTTTTTTATGTTTTAAAAAAAATATTTGACGAAATATTGAGAAAAATTAAATTAAAAAAAAAATTAAGTAGGCCTAATGAAAAAAATCTTCTTTTGAAGAATTCCAAATTCAGCCACAATGAATTTTACTAGATAAAAAAAAAATAAATAAAACAGTTTAAGAAAGTTTACAGTGACTTTGACATGAGTCATTACATAAACAGGTTTGCTAATATTGTATGAACAAATGAATAACATCATTGGAAATAGTAAATGCCTCTACGGATCTTTAATAAAAACCAATTATATAATAAAGTGAATTAAACGGTTCTCAAAAAAAGTGCATGAATGCAACTGCCGGTTGATACATCAAACATTTTCCATTTTGAAACCAACTTCCCAGACAGCCTCTGTTGGCTATATAATAGTGTAGGCCTACGTAATTTTTGGTACAGGGGGAATTTTATATAGAAAAGTATTTTAGTAGGAGGACAACATTTTTTTGCTTAAGGCAACTTCTTTTCGTCTGGTCCATGAAAAATATCTAAGTTAAATTATCCACCATCAATTTTTAAATATTAACTTTATTACGATTTTTATGTGATTGTAAAAATATTTTGATATATTAATGAGGCCTTACTGAATATTTACAGGACCAAATCAAGAGAGGATATGGGAACAAAGGTTAATGAGGTTGAAGCAGGCGACAGGGAGTCAAGAAGCTGAACCAGATTTGAGCAAGTATGTAATACTGTACTAAATTATTACACATGCCAACTCTCATGAATAATGTATGAGTCTTATGCATGAGCATTCACCTTTTACATCTCGTACCTATGTTGTATTATCTCACGCATCATAAATATGTTTATTTAAGTGTTTTGGTTTTTGTTCATTAAAGTCGCAACTCCCTTACATGAGCCGGCGTCACCACCTTAGCAGTGCACGGTAGTAGAGCCGAGGCTTATCCAAGGTGGAAGCTACCGGAGCCCAGCATACTGTCGCCGGAGTACCTGCATGTACGCGGTAGTGGTGGTGACGCCGTCTCAACAACAGGAGTGCGCATTTTTCATGTTGCACCTTGGTTTTTTCCATTATTTGGTCTGCCTGTTTTTGAAGGCTTAATTTATCAATTATTTATTTATTTATTTATTTATTTTCTATTTGTTTATTTATTTACTTTATTCATTTATTTATATTTATTTAACTTTTAATAAATAAAATTAAAAAAAATATTCTGATTAATATAGGCTCTTTAATATTAGATATAATATAATTTAATTTTTTAAAATTCTTGGTCCTACCTTTTTTTCGGCGCCTTGAGATGATTTTATTGTGGAAGACGCACTACAAATATCCCACCATTACCATTACCATATAACATTTATAGGATGATTATACCCTAAAATTCAAAAAAATGAAGTGAATTTGTCAGTAAAATGTGAATGCAGGCCGTATATATTTCTTTTAACGAAGCTATACCGACTGAGGACTGTAATCCATAGCAGTTCGACTACAATGTAAAAACAGAAAAAAAATTCTTTGCTAATTACTCAGTATAAAATTTAGCGACAGTACAGTATGCTGGTTTTGGGGATAGCAAGCCTCAAATATTCTAATGAGACATGGAATTAAACAATTTATTCACCTTTAATTGATTACCACTCAGCATACAGTAATTCATTCATGTATTATTTAGTAAGCAAAATATTTCTTGTTTGTTTTCAGTTGAAAAGTTAAATTAAATAAATAATAAATAATTAATTAATAAATTATTATTATTAATTAATTAATTAACAATTTTTAAGCTAAAATCACAGATATTAATATAAATTTTTACTCTTTTTATAGAAATTGAATAAAATTATTTATGTTTAGTAGTAGTCATGGAATATAATTTGTATTTTGGTTGTTCTTCAGTGACTATTGCATTTCATGCATGAATATAGTAAATAATAAATGCAATAAATTCCTATAAATGTCAAATTGTCCCTCTCATCTGCCATGAAAATACATATTTATATCAAATATAAGAGAAATATGGTATGTTTGCTTTAATATAAGCTCCCTAGAGTAAAATTTACATGTACAATTTGTTATTTTCATGAACGCATTAGTAGCAATATGGATGACTTCTTCACACATTAATTATTCAATGTTGCTATGCAAGTTGTATTTGTGAGTGCTTACTAAACTCAATTTGCTCAACATTTCATTAATAGTATTTTTTATACACTATATTACGATATGTATGATGTGTAATTGTAAGATACTGTATTGAATATATAGCAATATTAATAAGGAAGTACTGTAAATACCAACAATTTTTTTCTTCTGTTTTTGGCTCTGAAAAAAATATAGATGCCTGTAAAACATGAACATTTTTAATTGGATCTTAGGACTTTTAAATAACCAATTAAAATATTGAATTTCATATTCATGTTTATAAGCTAAAATGTTTATAATCTATAAAAACAGGCCTACAGTATAACTGGGAATTCCTTCTACTGTATTTTAGGGAAGGGGGTTCCTATGAGAGTTCAAGGGAACCTAAAGGGAGTGGAGTTCATGGGAAGTGCTCTTGTAGATGTCGGCAGGAGGGTGGGGGTGTGCTTAAGCCTTCCAGAATGTACAGAAAGTGGTGAATTTCATTGTATTGTTGCCTTTGACACGTGTGGAGGGGGTAGTTTTATTTATCAGGAGAGTGTTGTTAGCTCAAAAAGTACTGTGGGATTGAACTGGGACTGATGAAAAACAATTTAAGTTATAGTTTATTAATTATGGTTTTCCATTTTACTTCCAATGTCCAACCACAGTTAGAATCTATAGTTTAATAGACATAATAAGAGAAAGGAACACAGTTGATAACAAGATACATGTAGAGGAAATTTGCCAGGGCTAGATGTCTGCCTTCCCTTCCTGTCAGGGCTATGTCAGGGCCTGCCTCCTGTTAATTTAATACGTACAGTAGCCACGCAAGCAGACTGAATTCTGATAAGATATTACATGCCTTATCGCTGCCCTTCAAATAGACATTACTGTTATGCATTTGGTTTTTGATTGATGGATTGTTAAAATGATAATACATACAGTAATAAAAATTATAATTGATTTTGATAAACATCATAATGACAATCATTGACAGATTCAAGGAAGGTGGGGGCCCAGGCACCACTTAATTTTTGAAATTTACAAAAAAAAAGAGAGAAAATTATATTCAAATTATTGTGCGAGAGTGCCATTTCTGGCCATCTAAAGGTGCCATAGACATAAGATTTTGTACCTCAGACCTTTCCTTTTAATGTTGAATAATGTTGGTTATTACCAACTACTGCATACCAAATTGATTGGAAATTGGACTTAGGAATTTTGCCTTATGGTTTACTAATGCTCCAAGAGACAGTGCACAATGATTTCTAGGTTAGCTATATATTTACGAAGGATCACATGAATTCCAAAGCATACAAAGCACATAGAACGCTAAAACACTATGTTGAACAAACGTATTACCTTTCCTTGCCATTTATTTTTCATGTTAACAATTGGCGATTGTTTTCGCAACCATAACATTACTTTTCCTTGTACTTTCACACGGATCGTACTGTAGTAGTTATACCCACTATAATGTCACATGACCGGTAATCAAACCCTGCGGGGTGGGTCTATTGTTAACACTCATTCTTTGCCAATTATTTCCCTCACGCTTCTCATATTTCAATTGAGAAAACTGCTAAGGTCAGAAAAACAATGTATATGTAAATGACCCCAAGAAATACTGTATGACAAAACAGAAACTACTTTATTCTAAAGAGTATTCCACATTTAGCATAATCTGTTGTAAATGGTAAGGAATAAAATACAGTAATATAAAGTTGTTTATTAAAGTTCCTTAAGTTCATTATGGAAAAGAAAAAAAAAACAGTTTTGTGAATATAATTTGAATTAGATTTAGATGTGTACCTTGCACAATATGAAAGTAACCAAGTATGAAATGTTAAATGAATTTAGCGTGAGAATGCCTACTGTAGCCCTGGGTTAAATTAGGTTGGACTCTCTAAAGCTGCATTCACACCGAAACCGAATTCGGTTCATATGGCTAACGAAACGAAAAAAGAATATCGAATCAGTGGTAAAGAATAGAGGCGCGTACTAATACGCGCATCGAAACGTTCGCCGAACCGAATTTGGATTCGGTGTGAATCTACCTTAAGGTATACAGAACCTGTCAAAGGGGTTTGACTGCAGGTCCACTATTTTTTTGCATTTTCTGATCCCTAGGTAATAGTCCACCACCCCCCCACCCTACCTACCCAAAATGTGTAAAGGAACTAAGTATGAACTATATATAGATATGTTATTGTATATTTCAACACCCGAGATGAGCTGAGAATTTTTTCATCCAGTAGTATAACAACAGTATCATACTGTAATATTATATCTGTATTAAATTGTATGTGAACATGAGATATGTCTTCAGTTATAAATGATTGAACCATGGAGAATATAATTATTTATGGTTCATATCTATCTCAGGTCATCTCTCCCTTATATTCACAACAGGATTCAATTTAAAACAGATCTAAATAATATAAAGAACTGATGAATTCTCTACAGTATACTTCAATTCAAGTTTGTCTAACAGCTCAGTCATCATCAGTATGACAAGTTGATATAGAGTGACCTTGTAACGTCTTAAAAATTGGTCATGCTATCTAAAGAGTAAGCCATTTATTGTGTATTAATAAGATTCTAGGTTCAACTTCTATTGGTTAATTTATACAGAAGTTGCTTGGTGGATAAAATTCCATTAAAACGACCAACAATAAAAATTAAAAAATGTAGACGGCCTATAAAATAGTAAAGTGAAAAAGAGTAAAATGGTAGCCTATATTTTATCATTGAAGTTCAGCATGTAGATACTATTAAAACAAGTGACTTTCTAGTTCTGCACAACATTAAGACAATGATGGTTTGGCAAACATACATTACAGACAGACCAGCACATAAAGATTCAAAAATTTTCCCACTTTGGGCATGGATGTCATGTTGAAGTTCATGACACGACATCCATGCCCAAAGAGGGCGCTGGTCTATCGTAATTACTGATATGTAGAATTGCATAGAAAGGGGTGTTTACTACCACTCACAAGGTCCAGAAAAAGCATTAACAAATTAAATTAAAACTTTCAAGTACTCATTTATTTAAATAATAGGAAGGTGGCGGGAAATTGCAAGTTCTCTGCTCTAACTAGATTTGGCACCAATGCTGGTTTTATATTACAAAGACATAGTGGGGGGCAGTATGCAGTCAGAGTTCTCCCGAAGCTGTTTTAGCCATCAATTTTACTGGTAAAATTAACTGGCGAACCAGTAAAAAGTTAGAGATTGTAAAATAATAAAACCACTAGGTAGTCTAGGCTGGCCTTCTTTTAATAAATGAACATCATTTCAGTCTGTATCTAGGCTACTGTATGACTATATGTGTTGTTGTTTCCTTCAAGTCATTACACCCCACTCAAAAGGGATAATGCCTTGCACTGCATGTATAGCTGAATCTTGATGGATTTTTCAATTGGGAGAACATTGGCAATTATTGCACTGCCCCAATATTATCTGATTTGATTAGATAAGATATTCTAAACACTTGTCTATATAACAATATTGTTTTGTTTTGTTTATAGAGCAGAGTTACTTCTGCAAGGTTCAACATGTACGCCAAACAAAGCAAGGAATAGGTTATTCAATCTGTTTGGAGATACAAAGTAGGTTGATATGATGAATAAATACTGTATATATATATACTGTATACCATTTATTCAAATAAACACTCCGCTTTGAATAATAATCGTGCCCCCAAATGACTGTAAACAAATCTAATGGAATCAACATCATTCTCGACACATTCTATGTTCTACTTCTCCAGTAGGGATCAATAATTCTTTATGATCACGCAATAACCCATTTTGCAGTGAAATTAATTGGCGTTTATTCAAATATATACAGCTGCAAAATATGAAATCATTTAGTAACAATAATTCCCTGGTCATTGCACAAACCCATTTTTATTGGGAATACCATTTCATTTAAATACCTTCGGAAGAATAAATGTTCACCTGGAATAAACATAGGGCATATATCTTTCCTTGAATTGACCCCCACCCCAAACAAAAAAAAAATGTCTGTGTTGTATTGTCCCAAATTTATATCAATATATACAATATTAAAAATACCATACCCATGATAAAAACAAATAATAAAAAAAAAAAACATCTGTTTGTTGCATATATTACAAATGTGTCTAAAAACTTGTACAAAGATTTGGATTTAGGTTTGCTAAGATAATTATAATGTATAATATAAAAATAACATTTAAACCTTTTTCTGTAATATTTTCATTTTTGCAGGTTTGATCTTTCAATGTCAATTTTTTTAGATGAACATAATAAAAATTCTGAGGAAAATTTGAGGTACCCACCACCATTTGGTATGGAAGGAGCTGGTAAGTACGTTGATAAATCTAAAATAGGAAAAGGCTTGGCACGGTGCTGTTTAGCTCAGTCGGCTAATTTGGTGGTAGCCACTGTGTGTGTGATGAACCTTTGAAAAGGTTAGGTCCCCAATTCTATAGTGCACTGCCCTTCAGATGAGATGTTTAAGCTGTTGCTCCTGTGTGCATTTATGGCCCACGTGCACGTTAAAGAACGCAGTACACTCTTCGGAAAAGAGTAGGGGATTGTCTCCCGGTGTACTGCCCAATCACCACCAGAAGGACCACACTGGAAATAAGTCTTCTAGACTTTTGCGGGCTATCCTTGGTGTTTACACCGAATAAATCAAATCCAGTTACTCAAAAAATGACAATTGCCAATATGACTTTACTAATATTTACCTAATACCATTGTACAGTATTTTTAAAATAGTAAATGGTATAAAGGTAAGGGGTGTCTCTAACTTCAGCCTTCTCATTGGTGCTGGTTTGAGACCCTTCTCACCTAGGATTATTGGTAAAATCTTACAACTTACAACTGGAGGTCCAGTGTACACATCTGGTCTAAAATAATATCAACTTTGCTCCCTAAACCTCAAAATATAAATGTAAAGTTTTCTGTATGATATTATATATGTTCCTTTTGAAATCGACAAGAAATTTGGATTTCTATTACATTATTATCTTTTTTTATTTCAGAGCCTTGGTTAGATAGTGTATTAAAACTTCTACCAGAGAGTGGCCTTCCGTATCATATAGCCAAGTAAGTTGTGACATTACATTGAACACATCTGACCTTTATTCAGTTCATTACACTTTTATCTAAACACATTAAACACTAACAAAAGGAGTACAACAGCTGGAATTTCTTTCTAAGCATGAATGATAATCCCTGCCCAATCTGTTTTGCTTGTTTACCACCAGGAAATCTTGTCGTCGTTGTATAGTTGTTGGAAACGGCGGTATCCTCTCTAAAAAGAATCTAGGTGAAGTTATTGATAATTATGATGTTGTAATTAGGTAAGTGGTAATATATAACTTACATAGTCTTTAATCTCTGTGTTATAACTTTCATGCTCTCAGAAGATCATATTATGACAAAATGCACTATAGAAGCCTACAATTAAAAAAAAAAATTACTATATATTATAAGTTCTGTTATTGAACTGTAGAGATATAATCAAAACTGAATTATTTAAACATTATGCAACAATACCAATATGTTACAATTAAATGCTATCAAAATATAAACATACACTTAAAAATATATTAACTACAATTCATCAATTATTTCATACTTATAAATAATATTTAACTGTGGTTTATAATACCATGTTGATTTTTTTTTAAATTTATCATTTTAAGTAACATGTAAAGTTATATCCTGAAAATTAAGATAAGCTCAGTGGTCTAGTGGTTATGGCGCCAGGCCAGTTATCTAGTGTGGGTTCGATTCCCATCCGAATCACTGTATTTTTTCACAATTATTTGAGAACATACCGAGAATTTAGTATGATAACATGTCAGGTCGGGAGAAACATCACTCCTGTGATGTATTCCTGATGAAAACACGCATCAAAATAGCATTTTAGTGCCCGCTGCAGCACTAGTTTTAAAGCGGTGGTCTAGTGGTTATGACACCAGGAGGTTGTGGGTTCGATTCTAACCAGAATAACTTTTTTTTTTGTAAATTTGGGAAACATTATCCCTATAAAATATGAATGACTGTGTACCATTATTGTTATAAAAGAAAGTATTATTGCATTATATTGTATTATTTAATTTTTTTCGTTTTCACAGAATGAATGATGCACCGATAGGTAAATTTAAAAGTGATGTTGGGTCAAAAACAACATTTCGTTTTATGTATCCAGAAGGAACATACAAGGACCCAAAACTTTTTCACTCCAACTCCACTGTTGTGTTCATGACCTTTAAACCTAAGGACCTTGAATGGCTTCAGTCTGTGTTAACCAATGTAAAACTTGTAAGTATTTAATCTATGTATTTGAGGAGGCGTGTATTCAAGGGAGGCATTTATTATTTTTATTTGCTGTAAAATGGATACGTAATACTCAAATAACCCTCATTAATTCCACTGTAAATTTGGAACTACAACACAAAATGACTGTCAAAATGTGTAATGTGAAGACACGTTTATTTCAAATCAGGCTCTAGAGGGGGTATTTATTTGAATAAATGTGGTATTATGATTATGACTAAGATGACGATGTTGGTGCATGTGATGGTTTTATTTGGGGAGGTTAGTGGAAATGAAGATAATGATATTGATGATTAAGTATTTGTGAAAATATTATTCTTCTCTAGAAATCTACTAAAGAATTTTGGAAGAAAATTCCAACATCGCTGCCAAAAAAACCAAGTCAATGTAGACTATTCAACCCATCAATCCTACAAGAACTTGCATTTGATATTTTAAAACTTCCAATAAATAAAGGAATTATGAAAAAGGTATTGTATCTGTCTCTGTTTTACAGTTTGTATATAGCTATTGGAATACATTGATTTCAATAACATGACAAGCCCTAGGATGGATTTACATATCTGTGACCATAACTTTAGCTCAGTAATAAGAAAACTCGTCCCAAGTTGTGAAAGTCAAATTCCTGAAGTATTTGCCATGCAGGACAGGCAGAGGTTTGCGACGCGTGTACTAGTTAAAACACATGTACAAGGATACGTGTAGTATACACATTTATGATATTCAATGTAAAAACAAGGGGCTTGGGCTAACTTAGGTCACTGTTACTACCTTATTGCTGCCTAGAATGTTCAATTAATCTTACATGTATGTCTGCCATATGGGAGAATTAAGGACTTTGCGGGATACAGGAAATGAACCTAATTTCCTGGAGACTCCAGGGCAATCCGCGAGACTTGGGAGCTCTGAGAGAACATTATCTATGGTATGTCCTAGAACATGATCTGCAACCGCTGTGCAAAGCACTCACTCAGTATGTGTATGCTTCCTTAGTTAATTTACTAATTTCATTTCATTTTTAATTTTGTTTTCCAATACCATTTTGTATTTCAGAATGTTCCAACTACTGGAGCTCTTGCAATCATGTTCTCGGCACGATTCTGCGATGAGATCGCTGTTGCTGGCTTCGGTTACAACCTCAAAGACCCTAACGCAAAGCTACATTACTATGACAACAACAAGATGAAGGTCATCACCAAGTCGTGGACGCATAATATAAGCGACGAACGTAAATTTCTGATGGCACTTGCACAATTTGGAGTTATACACGACCTTACAGGTGGTCTGTTGCAAGGGGGTTAATGAATGTGTCAAAAGGTGTTATGGTTTATTTGAATAAATGTCCTGGTGCATTTATTATTGAGAATTTTTTTTTTTTGGGGGGGGGGGCACTATTCAAAGGAGGCATGGCACTATTCAATTGAGGCGTTAGTTTTTTGGTGTAAAATGGAAAGTATATTCAAATAAACGCCCCATAATTTCACTGTAAAAGAAACTACAACGCATAATAACAGTACCTTGAACAAAATGTGCTATTGTGTGATCATAAAGAATGTAATTTTGCTGGAGTAGAAATTAATAAAAATATTGAGAATGATATTCCTTCCATTAGATTTGTTTACAGTCATTTATTGCGGTGTTTATTCAAGGGAAAAAATAAACTCTTCAGTTATATTTAAAATAGTTCTAGAGGGGGAGTTTATTAGAATAAAAACGGTACTTGAGTGTATAACGTATTGCATTTACATGCTGTTGATAATGTATGTATATATACTGTATATATTTATATTTGTACACATATTTTGTTATATTATGAATTATATAGTACTATTTATGCATATTTTATTTATTTTTTAGACTTGTTTTAAAGACTTTTAGCAAAATTTAGTTTTGAAAGATATGAAGAGGACGGTATTACAGACCCCTGTTTATAATTTAGATTCTAGAAGGAGAAAATAAAAATAAGATTTTATTAACTAATTATATGTGAGTGGGAAAAACAAAATGACATGTACTCTCACTGTACAAAGAATCTAAACATGTGATTTAATGAGTTCAGTAATTGGATTAATAATAATTTATATTTACTGTATTTAATTGTGGGGAAGAAATAAAGATTTCTTATTGCAAGATTTCGTGGTGGCAGCACGGTAATGGTTGCACAAACAGATAGATATTATACATGTAATAGTGACTATACTGTATACATAATAGTGATTATTAACTGTAATCCTTTTGTAATGAATAGAATATGAAAGTTTAAAAGTGGTTATAGCACTAACACACATGGCTTCAAAGAAATTTATATTTTATATAATATGCTTATCCCCACCAATGAAAATTTGATTTGTAAAATAGAAAAAAGTTATATACGAAAAATTACACAATGGAATATTTCTTTAGTTTAAAAGCTTCAATGAAACATGCTGACCTTAATTTCACACTAAAGGAGATTTTTTAATGACTTTCTCATAGAAAAGAAATGTCATCCCACTAAAATTAGTATATTATGGCTTACTCTTAGGCTAGTGTAAGGTTAATCGAATCGTGTATACTTGTACATGGCATAACAGAGTACAGTTCATTAATCCACAATCCGACCCCAGATTAGTGTATGCCAGTGAGTTTCGAGTCCTGCATTAATGATTTTGAGGCTAGGATTTGGCCAATCTCTTAAGCTTAGATGTAACAAGAAATAAAAAAGCATAGTTACACAATGGATGGTTATCATTAAATATGCCTGATGTATCTCTCGAGTCTGAATTTACTGTCTGTGTTGACAAATTTATTCAAGTTAAAAATATTTTCTCACCTATCAACAGTAATTAATGTAACAAATATTGGAATAAAAGTTCTGTAAATCTGAGAAAACTGAATCGTTGAAATCTGTGTCATTAAAAGATAGTCAGTTTGATTCTTTTTTTAAAGCTACGCTTATGTCGCCTTGTAATTCAACTGACTTCTACTGACTGCCAACTACTTGCCTTCTTCAATCATGCGACTCTCAATTACTTCCAGTTCGGTGGCAAGTTCCAACACTCAAGTCACAAGGATGGGCTTCTTTTCGAGGCTACTTTTGCAAAGTAAAGAGGGAGCTTCTTTTCAAAATGAATGCTTTAAATTTTGCGAATTGCTACTATAAAACAATAAATAGAGCCACTGTAACATCAGCCTGTATCATGGAGTGTATTATTAACCGGCATTAAATCACCGAAACTACAGTACTAAACCAAGCGTGTTTTTAATCTATTTCATTTTTTAAAATTCCTGTACAGTGTATGTACTGTACTCCCTCGGAAAGAAGCCCATGCTATCTTACAAAAGAAGCCAACTATGGGCTAATTTTACAAACTAAAGAGGGGGCTTTAATTTGAGATGGGCTTCTTCTCGAGATTAAGCCCACTGTGCTTCTATTTTATGTTTTACCGTATCTTTACTTTTGTAATTAATAAATAAATAAGACATTAAAAATACCTCTATCTTTAATTTTGTATAAATAATCTATGTACAGTCATATTTTGCTTTATCTTTTTCCCCAATCTTCTCACACTTGTTCATCACACTGCTTTCTTCTCGCATTATTTTCTTCATTTGCTTTTGGACCCTCTTTCCGATATTTTTTTGTAGTAAATAATTCAACCAAGTTAGAAAATGGAAGCTCAACAACTAGGAATATATACATGGCAACCATAAATGACGACAGAATAAATGCAAAGTAATAGAAAATCTGAAAGAAAAAAATAAAAATAATCATAAATTATTTACATAAAATATTATTTTAAACAATTAAGTAAGAAAATTCCTTTTAATCCCATTTTTAATAATCATTTTTTTATGATCACTATTTTAGAGGCTGTCTTTAAATTACCAGCTGAAGAAACTTGGTTATATGCGGAGGACATCCCTCTCACCTCTGAACCTATTATCGAAGCCTCATTGAGTGTATCATACTTGTATTGAAAAAAACAAAATGAATGCTTACCATCATCGTATATGAATAATGAATTGGCTCGAACATGCTGAAAATGAAAACCTTGATCATGATTGGATGAACAAGATATGCATTGAAGACGAGCCGACTTAGAGGTACCCATAATCCACTGCTTAACAGCTGGTTAACCCACCCTACGAAAATAGTAAAAATAGTATTAAATAGTAGTATTAGTGGTAGTAGAACTATTGTTAATACAATATGCTATAATATAAGCATACTTTAAAAAATTTCTGGTTATTCTAAATTAAATTTTCAAATAATTTTTTTTCTTTTTTTAATCTTTTCTTTATCCTACAATCACAATCAAAATACTGTATACAGAAAATGCTGATTCATTTTTTGACACATTACCTCCATATCCATAGAAGCATGCAAACACGACCCAACTGAGGGCAACTGACCAAGTAAATCGACTCAGACCCTCATACAATGCTCTAGCCACAACAGTCATGGGGTCACCATGATAGGAACCATAAAGACCAAAAGCAACTGTGGTAAGTAAAGCAATAGAAAATGTCCAGCCCACAAACACTGCTATCTAAAAGTAGTAAATATTGCATTGTTAACCAAAAAAAAGTGTAATAATTGTGACAATAATATTAATGATTTATTCACACTAAAAATTCTTTATTATTACCTCCGTCAAGGAGGTTATTCACCCCTGTCTGTCAGTTTGTTACCAATGCAATAACTAAGGAATGGATCATCATAAAATATAGTGGAATGGTACATAATATAATAAGAACGAGATGATTAAATTTTGGGAAGAAAAGTTTATGGAAATTATTTTTTTCCTTTTAACTTACCCTCGAGCCTAAAAGAAAATAATGGAATTGCCCATAACCGGCCTGCATATTGTTCAGCATTCTGGCACAGGGCGTAGGTACGCACTTTATGGGAATGACTGCTCTAGTTAGTGTACCATTGTTGTTGCAATCATCGTAAACATTTTATAACAAATGGTTTTACAATATACCTAGGCCTAGTTGTACTTACGGGAGACAGTTTGACACGCTGATTGTTGGTTTTTAACCGAGCCATTGCGTATCCAAGAAGCATGCCAATCAGGTAGGGAGTGATACGGCAGTACGGTTTATCATACACTACAGATGAATAATCCTCACCACCAGGTCTACAGTAAAATTCAAATAGGTTATAGAAAATAGTTTGTTAATGGCTGTATTCTGGTCATTCTTCGTTATAAACCACGTCCACCTACGCAGTGGTAAAATCTACGACCAGTTGAATAGAAAACTGGTAAATACTCGACAAACAAAATGGCTGCATAGTTACCGCGATACACGCTGCGTAATCAAAATTGCTTCGTAAAAATATATGTTTTCATCCAGTTTTTATATTCTGTTAGCTTACAATTATTTTTTTACTTCATGTGGGTAAATATTATAATTTTTATTTTCTGAAATTTAATCTAAATTAATATAAATTATTAAATGTTTTTTCTAAACTGACCAATCGGCTATGCTTGTGTTGGTCACGTGGATAACCTAACCTTGATTAACGCATTCTGGTTACGTTAATTTTTGTTGTCAACGAAGTCTATTTTATGAACCAGTCGAATGAAAATAATACTAAAAAATTGTAGTCAACGAAATGGACCAGTCGAATAAGCCCAATGTTTTAGATCTCCACTTTTATCTGCATTATTTAGTGAATGGTATCACTAATTTCCCAGGTAAATAACGGAATGGCCCAGGTCCTGGATGGACATTATTGATTTTAAGTGAGGAAGGGAGGTGAAGAGTCTGTGGAGGCAAAAGAAAGATGAGAAAAGAAACCATGGATTGTCCTACATGTGAGTCAAGAGACTAAAGAAATCTAATAGTTAACATTTTTGGGGGACTGTGGCCTCATTAATTACTTATGAACGGGTGGTAAAATATCTGAAACTGGGGTATGTCTCCAAGATTACCTTAACAGAAGTGGCCTACATCTATGCAAAAAGGAACTACTCAACTGCTAAAAAACAGTTTATTAGTTAATCACTTCTCAGTTACTAATTGTGTACTATTATCTTAGGATTTATTTTGCTTAATTTCTTACAGTTTTTATTTGAATTGCTCTGTATTTTTCAGTCATACATGTAATGCTGAGGAAGGACACAAAATATTCTTTAAGTTAAATCAATCTGCATACAGCGTTGTTTTGTCCTTTAAGGACTCATCAGTGCAGCTCATGTAAATTTGAGATTGAACCTATATATAGTATATATATATACTTATTAATAGTATCCGACGTAGTTGGTTCCACATATGTCCCTCGGAAATATATAAATATGTTTATTTTCCAATTAACCTATATACTTATTTTATTAGTACCGGTATTTGTATAAGTATTTTATTATTATTTTTGTAAAGGTAGTTTTTTTTTGTAAATGCCTTTTTATATAGATTTCGTTCTACTGTGGTATTTTCATGCTACAGTATATTTAATCACATTATTTAAGTTTTTACTGACTTTGTTTATTGTTGCACATCTTTTACGGTTGTGCCTTTGTTACACGTTACCTGTTGCACCTGTTGCCTACCCCATTTGATTACAAGCTTACAGACTTACACCCTCTGCATAAATTATGTTGTATTATTTATGGCTTGTTAAATTAAATGTTCAACTTTCGTTTGATATGACTGTGTCCTTTCATTTATTTGTTCCAACCGTATAAATATGGCGGCTTATCTGGGTAACCCCAACCGTCCGCCACAATAGCTTTTAGTTTATTTCATATTTATGTGGTTTAAGGAATTATTAATTTGTTTATATTGAATGAGAAATTCCCTTCCTCTTCCTCATTGGCAATTGTGTCACCTGTGTGCTAGCCGCAACTATTTTAAAGCTCCAAACTCAGGGGTGGCTCCGTTGGGGGGGGGGAGGGGAATGGAAAAGAATGCCCTTGAAAAATTGTTAGGAGTATCTTACCGAGTATCCATGGATCCTTTGAAGGCATTTGAGAATTGATTGACACCCATCAAGACACAGGTTGTGATGATGCTAGCAGTGCATAAGGTAGCTACCAGGCTTATGCCAAGGTACTTGGATCTAAAAAAAAAAAATCACACAAGCTGCTTATTGATTGGTTTGATTGATTGAAAGAGTATTGATTGATTGGCAAATTGATTGACTGATTTTAATTCATTGATTTATTGATTAAAGTGATTGACTAAATGATTTAATCAAATCTGTGGTTTTTGGTTGACTGATAGATTGATAATTTGATTATTATTGATTGATTCCTATTAATCAATTTTAACTGGTGAGAAGTGTTATGCATAACAATTGCAGTGTATTAAAATACCTATTTTTTTAATATACAAAATTTGATATCATTTGCCAATTGATGTGCAGGTATGCAATCTCTTGAAAAAAACCTTCATATATGAATGGATTAAAACGATATAGTTTTTAATGTTTTTTCCTCAAAATTTTATTTAACAAAACCTAGTATACATACCTATATAAGACAAGCAACAGCAATGGACTGATGAAGTAAAATTGCATGTCATTAGCCAAGTACCAGGTCCAATACATACACTGAAAAGTAAATGGACTTAATTTCAAAAAAGGTTGTAGTTTGATATTTATTGGCTATCAAATTCTGACGACATGCAGTCTGCGTTCAGGCTATGAACTTGAACAATAAAATTAAATTTGTATATTGAAGTATTTAATGTATGGGAATTGAATTAATTTATTAACCTTAAGTGGCGTATCTTGGAGTCTTGAAATGGGGGGGGGGTGTGGAGGGTCGGAGGGCACTGACGAGGTTGGCGTGAAGGTGAAGTGGGGTGCCTGAAGATTATGGGGTGCTGCCTCTCAAAATATGTGGCAAAGACAAGCCAAACCAGTCACTCGTCACAAAAAAGAATAATTTAAATCCGACTTTTCATTATGAAATTACAAGCGTTTAAACATACAGATGTGAAATGAACAATATTTGAGAAATCATCCTTCAAAATTTATGATTTCCGGCATTTCTCATGCAGAAATCATCACCAAATTGTTAAAAATTGTTATTTAACAGTGAAAATGGAGAAAATAATAGCATATCAAGATGTGTAGATATATAAAGGTAAGTTTAGTGCAATAAAATAGATTTTCAAAATTTTGACATTTCTATTTTATTTTACTTGACTTTTCACTGGCATCAGTACAAAAATATATAAATGGAAAAAATTCCAGTGAGAGAGCGTACCAACAGGTGCATGCACCTCCAACACAACGCGCTCTAAAAACATGTTTTAGCCATTCTCTCTGAAACATGACTTGCGACGAGTGACTGGTTTGGCTTGTGCTTGCCACATATGGTGATATGAGGTGATATTTAACTTGAGTGTAATTTTTTTTTATTTGAATATTTCCACTGGGAAAGGGGGAAACTTGGGGAGGGGTATGATGAGCCTTTTTTGGGTTTGCACCCCTGCACACATCCCTAGATACACTGGGGAAAAAGATAATGATTTGATTTATTTAATATCTCAGCTGTACATATACAAACAGAAATATACAAAACAGAAATATACAAAACAGAAAAAACATGTTTCGAAAACGAAACAGATATTTCGATAACCCTGTAAGTCCCTATTAAGGGACTTATT